TATCAGGAGACATCACAAACTTACTTGATTACCAGCTGCAACTCCGATACACTGATTGCTTCTGCTGATGACAATTGTTGTTGGTGCTATGTCTTGCTGATAGATAATTCCTTTATCTCAATGGTAACTTTTGGATGACAATTCAAGGATGTAATAATATCTTAGAATACAAGATTTTTGCGGTGCTGCTTTCTCCAATCATGATTATGTAAATGGGAAGAAAATTTACGGATAATTTATAAAAATCTTTTCCTAGGTCACTTTCACAATTCATTCAAGTAGTTGATTATCTCTCTCGAAAAGGGATCTCTCAACAATCATCTTCCTCAAGCTCTCATCATGTCAAAGGTTCTTTATGAGTTTGCCCCCAATTCTAATGTTGTCAAAGGCCCTCATGCCCCTGATTCTCCCATTGTCATTCAAACAAATAATGTGGCATTCTCTGATGTTATCCCAAAAAAAAAAAGTTTCCCTCTTCAATATGCCTTCTACGACTTCCCAGAGCCATTCTACCCTAAGCAAGTATGTGAGTTCTATTATTCTTGTTCTGTTCATTCTAGTGCTAAAACCATTAATGAAACCATTAGAGATGGTCAATCTAGGGTTACTATCAATGCAAAACCTTTTCGAACTGCTCTTCGTCTTCCCCGATCAGAAAACTATTCTGAAACCCCTTCTGAAGAAAGATGCAAGTCTATTCGTTCAAATTTAGGGTATAACTTTTCCCTTCAAGGCACCTCTTGTGATCCAACCAGATACACCCTCCTTCAATGTTATTATGTAGGGTGGAAGTACTTATCTGGGGTGATTGGTAAATGCCTTGGACACAAAACTAGGAGCATAAATCAGTTAAACCTATTTGAGCAACGAATTTTGTATTCCATGGATTGCAACAAAAGACTGGATTTTGATCAACTCTTCCTTGATCAAATGATTGAACGTGTCACCAGGAACAAGAAGTCAACATATGTTCCTTATCCTCGTTGGCTTAGACTACTTTTGGCTAGTGATGAAGAGGGTTATAATGTCAATAATGGAGTCATCATTCAAATTCCATCTATCTCTCCTCAAAGATCATCAACACTGCCCCCTCTAACTGAGATATGCATATTACTCAGAGTATGGAAATTGGATTACAAATCCCTACGTCGTTGAATCCTCTGACTCTGAAGAAGAGGATGATGAGGACAATGATGGAGATTCTGATGATGATGAAGAAGACGTTGATGATGAAGAAGATGAATTTGCCACTGATAAAGGAGAATCTTGTGTTTAAGAAATGACTAATTCTCCTCCAAGATTAAACCAGCATATTCGTTTCTCCTCATCCTCAACATCATCCAAAACTCCTTCTGCGGAAGATTTTTTACAGTGAGGATCAACTCCAACTCAAATTGAATTCACTGATCCACTAATTTAAGATGTGAGTTCTCCTAGATCAGCGTCTCCTTCTCCTCAAGCTGCAATTGTTCCTCCAATGCCAACACCTCTTCAGCATACTTCTACTTATCAGGGGGAGTCCAGTTCCAACTTTCAAACTATTGTGCTTTCTTAGCTCTCTCTGTTGGTGCAGATGACTCGATCTCTGGGAGAAAGACTGGCCAAAATAGAGAAAGATGTGGTTGATATGAAACGATCAATTACTTTGGATGATGATGATGATGATGTGATGATTGAAGACACTCCTCCTACCTCTCAAGACAATCCACCTCCACCTCCATCATCAAATACTCCTCCACCTCCTCCTCCACCATCACATCTCCCTCCTCGCAGTCCTTCTCCACCACCTGACTCCCCCTCCCCAAACTGATGATGCCAAAAAAGGGGAGAGAAAGTAAGAGCCAACTGTGACTGCAATGGTGACTGCAACAACTCCATCTCAGCCTGAAATGTCTGAATCAGGAGGGGATGATAATCAAAAGGCAATTGGTGTAGCTGAACAAGAGAGAAAACATCAGCCCATCCCAAACGTTGATGCAACAAACAATTATCATCCTATTCCAGACGTTGGTGATCAGTCTGAGACTGATGAGTATGAAGGGTTTCTTGATTTGGGGTTTATGGGACCAACAAAGAAATAAAGTATGATGATGAATAGCTTAATCCTAGAAAAATGAAGGATTCCTTCTCAGGGGGAGCAAATGACGCTGAAACTAGAAGTTCCTCTGCCATTGGTGGTTCTTCAGCCGCTGGTGGTTCTTCATCCCTTCCTCCCAAGAGATGTAGACTGACAATTTATTTGGAAGATTTATTTGTAGATTGGGAAATGACCGTTGAAGAAGTCATAGAAATCATGTTAGAACATAATGGCTCGATTCGAACAACAAAAGAGGAACACCAATCTATCAAACTTGTCCAGCGCCTTTCATCAGCTGATGCTCAAAGGACTAATATTCAATGTTTCAATATTGATGTGGCTAAACGAACAAAGTCTTTGAGCTGAATGATCGGATCAATCGAAATAAATTTGGGAATGTTAGGTAGGAGATACCAACCTGATCCCATCATCAAGTTCGGATGCACCAAACCCAAGAGTGGATCTCTCAAATTGCATTTGGTCAGGAAAAAGGCCGAGTATGAATACACTTAACTTAAATTTTCTTGTGAGTTAGTTAAATATGGCTACAGCGAGTGGATGAAAATTCAGGAGAAATTTTCTAAACACAAAGGTGTTCATGCTCAGGTGGTAAAGTTGGCTATTCAAACCATGATCAACAAAGTTAAGAAGTTGAACTTAGTACCTTCAGTTGGTCCATTCAAGCCATCCACTTCGAAAAGAACTAGCATGCCCAGAATGTCAAAATAGACGAAGTTTTTTCTACCATACGGTACTCCCTACATCAATAGCAATCTGCCAATGGGTATTGAGCCACTTCAGCACATGTTCATCTGGGAACCAGAACATGGTATTTTCTATCTTGACAGATAGAATCAATTGTGCTTTCAGCACACTGAAGAACTTCTTGATGCTCCCACCAAGCATTTATTCAATCTCCATCTGTAGGGAACGCAACATAAAGAACTTCTGGAAGAACTTCTTGATGCTCCCACCAAGCATTTAATCAATTGTGCTTTCAGCACACTGAAGAACTTCTTGATCTCTTTTGAAGCCAATAAGCATCTAATTGATCTTCATTTTGATAACTTCAAGTGTTTAAAGCCTGAGATCTTAACTGAAGGTGAAAATTTTTCAAATGATGACCTTGATGACTTCGTTGAAGATTAGTTTTGACATCATCAGATAAGGGGAGATTGTAAGGTCACAGCTTATGATCTGATGAGTCAAACACTTTACATATTGACTGCCAGCGCTAGTGCCAACATCACCATCAGTGCCAGCACCAACACAAGACCATATCAACGTCAGCGTGAAGATAATGATCTTTGTGATCTTTGTATATTAGGAAGTTATACGTATATATAGAATAGATATCTGATATGTAATCTTTGTGATTAGGATCAAGCCTTTATTTAGATAGGTATGCATCCCTTAATTAGTGGGATTTCAGTTATTGTAATCGTATATATTCAACATTAGCGTGAAACCCTAATTGTAATGTCTTGGTGACCGTCTTTGTGACCTTCGTTCTCTTGGTGAGAACATTCTTTCTTAGTGAAAGCATCTTTATGATTACTTGTGTTCTTTGGTTTTTTGTTTAATGTTTTCTTGGTTAGTTTGTTATTTGTTATTCATACTTGAAGTGTATCTGATCGATACAAACCTTCACAATCCCAACGATATTCTCATTATTGTTGCTCACATCAAAGATCGACAATCAAACAAATCTAGGATTGGAGCATTTAACGCTGCCATCAGCTTCTTAAAGGACTACATTGCTGAATATTGTAGATCTGATGCCAAATTTGCTCACTTTTTCGGAATAGAAAATCTATTGGCCAAAATCAGCACTGAGCTTCCTGAAGCTCAAATCTTAGCAGAATGTCCTATTGAAGAACCAGAACTTGATTATGTCTATCTCAAGAAAAAGAATCATCGAAAAGAATTCTTTTGAGTTCTTGAAAAACACCTTGTTCCTACCAAGATTGTTCAGAAGTTCATCTCAAATTTTGCTAAGAGTGATTCTTCCGAACACATCAAGAAGAAATTTATTGAGCATCTCCAATGGTACATAGAGGTTTGAAGCTAGCTCCAGAGTGCTTACCTGTTTGTGTTTGATGAAGCCAAGTGACAAGTCAAAAGATTGCTAAGGTTACTTAGGGGGGAGATTGTTAGAACATGAAGAAGTGATCCTTATGAAATCTGAGATGAAGACTTCTGAGGTAGCAAGCATTCCGAAGTGAAGACCAGTCTGAGATAGAGTGTTAGTTTAGAAACATCTTGTTTCTGTAATGCATTTATTGTTGCAAGTACTATTTGTATTGTTCTTATTTTAGTTAGTATGGTACAAGATACAAGATCAAGAACAACAGTTGTGTCAGCCTGTTGATCTTTAGAAGTCTCTAAGTCCATGCGTACTTTATCATATTTGTCTTTTAGTTACTCCTTGGCTATTTAAGGAGGTGTCCTCTTTGTATCAAAGATACAAGTGTACACCTTTTTCACTCTAATCAAGAATCATCCAGTCAATCATTCTCTCTTACATTCTTCTTGTTCTTGAATTACTTTACATTTTTCATACTTATTATTTTTCCATATTTTGAGCACTTTATTGATTATCTTTATTCCGAGACAAAACTGGTTTACCAGACTTGATTGGATCTTCATTACAAACAGACATTGATCTTAAGTTAATTCAAGTTTTGAGTTCTCAAACATTGTCCTTGCAAATCCATGCATTCACATGACACCAAAGTTTTATGGTTTCCATATTAGGGTTTTCATAAGAAAAGTCCCAAACTTAGTCCCAAAAAAAATTGAATAGAAAAGCCTAAGAAACAGGCTAAACGTTACACTTTAATCTCTTTTGACATGTTCAGCTTGTCACCTATGCCACATGGCATGCTAACTGGACAAGGGTTGATGTGGATGTTGGTGTGATATGCCACATCAGCGTCATGTACTTTAATATGCAAAAATCGGATTTTTAATAGAAAATGAGGGGAGTGGAATTCGAACCCACCACCTCTCACTTACAAAGCCACCCACTTTCCACTAGGCTAGAAACTTTTTGTTGATTTCATTCCTCAAAATTTAATATAATGCTTTAAATGCTGAAGCTTTTAATACAATTATTATTATTATATATATATATATATATATATATATATATATATATATATATATTAAAGATGACCACATTTATGAATAGCGAAGTTGTGTACTTTTTGGCAAGAATAGCCAATGGATGTGTTGTTTGTGTTTTTGTTTTTGTGCCTAGGCATTTTATGTAAATATTTACATTATTTTATACACGGATCATCGTTTGGGTTTATCCGCTTCCGGATCCTTCACACCGCCTCAAATATCTTCAGTCAACGTTATCTCTCTTTTCTTCCACAAACCTCCCATCACTCATGCGAAATCGGCGGTCAAGAAAGCAACGATTTTGGAGCAAACCGGTGTCACAACGGCATATGGTAGGTCACCGTCACCGACTAGCAGCAGGAACAAGAGCCGACGTCGGCCTCTTCTGATTTCGACATCTACATGTGACTCTCCTTCTGTGGCCGCTTCGTGAAGATATTACCGACAATCGAAATCGGCGGTGGAGAAAGCAACGATTTTGGAGCAAACCGGTGTCGCAGCGGCATATGGTCGGTCACCGTCACCGACTAGTAGCAGGAACAAGAGCCGACGTCGGCCTCTTCTGATTTCGACATCTACACCTGACTCTCCTTCTGTGGCCGCTTCGTGAAGATATTTCATACAATTCTTACCCAAGTTACCCTTTATAATAGGTAATCTCTTCTAACCCTACGATGGTAATTTTTGAAGACACGATCATATCTATTTCAATCACATGAATCAAATAAGAACCGACTCACATCGCAGGATCCACCATCAACGCAAAATCCTATATACATACCAAATCCCACTTTCTGATGATTGTGTTCTTTTCTTCAACTTTTGCAGAGGTAGCATTAGGGATCCAATTGGATACATGCTGCTTGATACAGATAGAACTTCTAGGGATGTTAGGTATTTCAAAATAACTTCCTTTTCCCTTTTCAGCCTGCATAATAGGTATCATAAAGTTGTTTAAATTCACTATAGTTTAGTATATATAATGTCTATAAAAGCCAATAAGTGATTGTGCTACTATCACACACATATTTTTCTACACACACTAATATTTTTTTGTATTCAATTTGTTTATGTTGAAGTTGGCTTTTTTTTGAAGGTTTTAGTGTTGTGCGATGGTATGCTATCTTATTGATTGCCAGGTGAGCAAGAACCACTATGTTAAAAAATATTTCACTATGTTTTAGGGATAATCAAGGTTTTCATGTTTTTTACAATTTGTACCAGATGTAATTGTTTGCAATACAGTAAAATTGGGGTCTTTTATACGGTTGTAGGCTTCGTGGGACAGAACTGAATCACCGATGGATGAGATTAGTAAAACCCGATGTGGTGTTTTGATTGTTCTGCCATGGGTAGAATGAAGGTAGTTTTTGATATTTTTCACTACACATGAAATAAAAATGACAATGGAATTACTTATTCTATTTGTTTATAATATGTTAAGGTCAATAGTATGGAATCTGAAATTCTGGGCATGGATTTGGTAAAAGTAATAATCTAACATTACTTGATTCGTTACATGATATAGCCCAAATTGAAAATGAAACAACATAAAATTTATGTCAATGTATATAAAAAATCCGTTTACATTTTGATGTTTGTTTAATATTTTCTTTTGGTAGGCTAAAGGGGTCGGGTATGCCAGAGTATTACAGAAGAGTCAACTAAGGTAATCACTTTTCTAATTTTGAGTGAATTACCAAATGTAAAATAAATTTGAATAACCTCTTGGTATATAATTGATGCTCTCTGTTGACATATCCTTTCAAGTTTCTTTTTATTGCGAAATTTGAGATACAAATAAATTTTGTTTGACGAGGTGATTAAAAAAGTTGCCCCCTACCCCCACACGTATATAATAACTTGGCAGGTTGCAGTAGGATCCCTTGCTTGGTCAAGAAGCTGGATCAAGTAAGAATATTTACTAATTACACTATGTGGACTAATGTGCTTCATATGTTTGATGGTTGTTCTTTTCAGATTTTTGTACAACATATCTTCAACACAAACACTGCCATAGGAGTTTACATTGATCTGGAATTCATAGCTCATTTGCAGTGAAAAAATGGTCAATATCATGGACTGATATACATTCATTCATTCCTAGGTATTTTTTTTTTGGGACAAAACACACATTTTCTGCTTTGTATGTTAATCAAGCATCTTGATCACAAAAACGTACTTAAAAAACCCGATATGCCGCTGAACATCTTAGAGGTTACCACATCACTTGCACAAGAAACAAAGAAAGTAGCTTTGGTTGTGATAGCCGGAGCTATTGCTGATGTCATCAGACATCTTAGAAAAAGTGTACATTTGGCGCTAGATGTTGCGGATTTCGGAGCAGACACGATCAAATGGAAGAAAAGGTTTCATGATTTGGAATAAATGCCTTGTGGAGTTGACATCTAAGGTACACGTTCGTTTAAAAATACTAGAATGCCCCTGGAGGTGTAGCAGGTTTCTGATGTGTTCTGATTTTATTTTATTTTAATCAAAAAGGTTGGTGATTCGAGCCCAATTTTTGGCATTATGGCTGGGATGATGGAGAACATCTCAAGTATTACAGTTATAGGAAGAACTACAGTAAAGCCAAATTGCCACTTCCAAAACCAACTTCATTTGCTCCGGTGACAATCACATTGATCTTTCAAACAACTCAAAAATTATCATTCTGCCTCTAAATTTTGTCCAGGAAACAGCGAAAAGCTCTACGAGTTTGCCTTATTCCTATAATAGCAACATACTTATAGTTTTTAACCATAATAGGAACGTACTTTATAGGTATGAATTTGTAAGAATTTGTATGTATTTTGCTTCTATGTGTAAAGAAACATTAGTAGAATGCTATTATTCGCAAAGTACCAATCAAAATGCACTATGTTGCTTTCCTGCCTTCTTCACTCACCGTTTCTGTTTTTTGTTCAACAGCCTCTGACGCTCACCCCTGCCACTTCAATCGTCGAGTGATTTACTAAAGCCAAATGACAAGATTACCCTTACCCACCTTTTAGTTGTACTTCCATCAAAAACTAGATCCTGAATAAATTTAGCTTTATTTATTTTTATGTTTTTTCTATTTATTTGTTTTAAATTTTTTATGTCATCTGTGATTAATACTATTGTATCCTTTAAAGGATGGATGGATGGAGGAGCATCATCGGAGCCTGCAGGTGGACGTGAGTGGAGGTGGAAGGTAGAATATAGGAGGCCAAGCTACTGAAAGGTCATTTTCATTATGAATCTTTATGATGACCTGTTGTTCATGTAGAAGTTACTTGCTAATATACTTTCCGTTTTAGAGTTTGAATGGAATGTTGGTTATTTTGGTTTATGATATATGATTTCCATTGCCAGAATTTGTCAAAATGTGTTGCATTTTAATTCTATTTCAGTTAAAGAGGGTAATCTAACAATTTTGTTACTTTGCTTACAGATTCGTTGATTTTTTTTTCCTTATTTATTTATTTTATTACAGATCAGTTAAAGAGGGAAGGAATGAGCAACTCAAACTATGAACAAATAGTTGATCAAATAACATTTACAAAGAATAAACAACGGAAAAAATTGTCGCATCCGACCCCCGCAACGTGGGGGTTCCCCACCTAGTTATTATTATTAAAAACGTAAATATATATATATATATATATATATATATATATATATATAATTCATAAATAAATATATTAAATATATAATCATATTTTTTTACGTATTTATATGTATTTTTTAAGTATTTTAACATATTTTATTATATTATTTTACATATTTATGTATTTTTTAAAGTATTTTAAAATATATTTATCTATTTCAAATGCATAAATACTTTTTATACATTTTATATATGTAATTTTTACAGATTTTTGTATATTTTATATATTTTTAATATATTTTTTTAAGTATATTAAAATAATTTTAGGTATTTTTATGTATTTTAAACGTATAAACGTATTTTGTACGTAGTTATGTATATTTTTTGTATTTTACGTAAAAACACTTAATAATATAAACAAATACATACGAAATAGGTTTATACATTTAAAATACATATAGCTATATAGCTATATATATATATATATATATATATATATATATATATATAAAATAAATAAAAATACTTAAGAAAACAATATAAATATGTAAATAAATATATAAAAATACATATAAATATGTACACATATGTAAAAAAAAGTTTATACATTTAAAATATATAAAAATACGTCAAACATATTTAAAATCATTTAAAAATATATAAAAAAGTAAAATGCAGATATATATATATATATATAAATACATATAAATATGTAAAAAAATGTTTATAAATTTAAAATACATAAAAATATATAAATACTTAAAATAATATATAAATATGAAATATATATATATATATTATATATATATATATCTATATAATATATATATATATACAAAAAAACACATAAAAAATACTTAAAAATTCATATAAATACGTAAAAAAATATGTTTATACATTTAGTATATTTATTTATGATGTATTATAATTATTTACGTTTTTAAATATAATTTTAATAATAATAATAATAATAATAATAAAGTATTAAAAGCTACATTATTTAAAGCATTATATACAAACTTTGAGGGATGAAAGCATGAAAATGATTTTAACCTAGTGGAAAGTGGGTTTGTTTGTATATGGGAGGTTGTGGGTTTGAATCCCACTCCCTTCCATTTCTATAAAAAAAAATTGTGTTTTTTTTTTGTATTTTAAAGAACTAGACGTTGATGTGGCATACGATGCCAGCATCCACATCAGCACTTGTCCAGTTGGCATGTCATGTGGCATAGGTGACATGCTGAATATGTTAAAAGGGATTAAAGTGTAAGGTTTAGTCGGTTTCTTGGGATTTTCTATTAAAAAAAATAGGGACTAAATTGAAACTTTTTCTAAAAAGTTTGGAACTTTTCTGATTAAAACCCTCCATGTTACTGTGGAAGGGGACACATTTATCAGTGATAAAACACTGGTAAATTTGGAAGAACCTACTAACTACAAGGAAGTGATGGTAGACCCTAAAGCTTCCAAATGGAAAGAGGCTATGGATAGCGAGATCCATTTCATGTATGATAACCAAGTGTGGAACTTGGTTGATCAAGAACCTGGTCGAAAGACTGTATGTTGCAAATGGATCTTCAAGAAGAAGAGTGACATGGATGAAAAGTTACATACTTTCAAAGTTTGGCTGGTTGTGAAGAGATTTACTCAAACCCCAGGGATTGGCTATGATGAGACCTTCTCACCGGTAGCTAAGATAAAATCTATCAAGATAATGCTTGCCATTGCTGCCTTTTATGATTATGAGGTATGACAAATGGGCCTTAAAACTGCTTTCCTAAATGGAAAGTTAACTAAAGACGTCAAAATGAGTCAATTATAAGGTTTTGTACATGCCAAGTATCATGATAGAGTGTGCAAGCTTGAGAAATCTGTTTGTGGGTTGAAACAAGCATCTCACAGCTGGAATATTGGTTTCCACGAGAAAGTCAAAGAGTTTGGATTTTCTAGGAGTGAGGATGAGCCATGTGTGTATGTCAAAGCTGGTGGGAGTATAGTAACTTTCCTAGTATTATATGTTGATGACATACTCCTTATAGGAAACGATATTCCAACTTTGCAAGAAGTGAAATCTTGGCTTGGGAAGTGTTTCGCTAAGAAGGATCTAGGGGAAGCGGCCTATATTCCTTGGATAATAATTTTGAGGGATAGAAAAAGATGTCTTATTGGTCTTAGCTAGAGTACATACTTGGGCAAAATATTGAAGCGTTTCAATATAGAGAATTCCAGGAAAGGGTATTTGTCCATGCATTGTACTGTTAAATTGAGCAAGACTCAAAGTCCCAGTACTGAGGAAGAAATAAATGACATGAGTAGAGTCCCATATTCTTCGGTTATAGGATCAATCATGTATGTTATGATGTGTACTCACCCTGATGTGGCTTATGCTTTGAGCATGGTTAGTCGCTTTCAAGGAAATCCTTGCATAGCCCATTGAACTGTAGTGAAGAACATACTAATGTATTTACGAAGAACAAAATACATGTTCTTAGTTATTGGCGGTAATGATACATTAAGAATGATTGGTTATAGTGATGTCATCTTTCAAACAGATCCTTATAACTTTTGTCCTTAATTTGGATGGGGTGTTCTTGTTAAATGACGGAGCAGTAACTTGTAAAGTTCCAAGCAGTCAATGGTAGCTGACTCTACTTGTGAGTCAGAGTACATAGCAGCGAGTGAAGCATCGAAGGAAGCGGCTTGGTTGAAGAATTTCATCATATATCTCATAGTAGTCCCAACCATTCAAGAGCCAATGGAACTATTCTTCGATAATGAAGTGGTGGTTGCTTTGACCAACGAACCAAAGGATCATGGAAAATCTAAACATATCGACATAAAGTACCACCACATAATACATATGGTTGGAGAAGGGCATCTCCTGGTGAATATAATGCCATTAGAAGATAATCATGCAGATCCTTTGACAAAGTCTCTAAGCAAGGTCAAGCACAACCAATATGCTAGGAACATTGGCTTGAGAGATTGCTAAAAATAAATATGAGATTATGAATGCGGAATATCAAGAACAATCAAGAATCAATCACCATCATATGCAAGTAATCTGATAAAGGTTTTTGTGTATATTAATTATGATATGAACGTACACAGAAAAACCTAATTCGGTAAAAAAGCTCTCTATCAAAATCTAACCTAATGATTATTTATTGGGAACATAAAATATATACCATAAATATAAAACTAATGCCTTAATATAAAACCAATGCCTTAGAAGAGCTCGATTAAGAACTTCTACTTTAAAGCACCGTAGGGAATCATAAAATGATTAACCCTAAAAAGGCTTCCCTAAATAACCAAATATGCCAAATCAGTTTCAATATCTCAAATACTCAACAATATCCCCCTAGATGTTGAAACTGATGAAGATCATGATTTTCGATCTTCTTGGCATTTCTCCCCCTAAATTGTGAGACTCGTCAGCACATGGGGTCTTCAAAGCGAGAGAAATAAAAATAATCTTCCAAATACGAACTCCCCCTTGAATAATAATCACTCCCCCTTGAATCTTTAACAAATACCACGGAGAGAATCTGGAAAATTATGAAGAATCACCAACAATCTTCAAAACCTGTCAGATTTGATGAAATAAATCCCTTTTAGAATATACCCAATTCTCAAAAATTAAAACCGAAAAAATAACAAAAATTAATTTTGTATTTTTCGATTTTTAAATATTGGACAAAAAGAATGGAGTAAGAAGCAATTATTTAGAAGGGTTTAAAAAAGAATAAGACCAAAGAAAAGGATTAGAAATGAAAATATTTTTGTAAGAAGGGGGTTAAAATGGTGAACAGTTTGGAAAAATGGGTTGAAACTGCCAAGACGTGCAAAAACTGGGGACTGAATTTGAAAAATTAGTCATCTTCTTCAAAAACATGAGGAACATTATGAACTTCACCAAGAACACCAAGAACAACTTCCTTTTTCTTTTCAGCTATTTAATTTATGAATCGTAGAATCAAATATAAAACGAATCAAAGTATGAAATCAATTAAGAATTCGAGATTGAACACCAGATGTAAATATGATCTTGTTTCAGCTCTATTACGCTTTCGAATGTTTACAGAGTACAAAGACAGGTCTGTAAAAACTCTTATCTAACTCTAGTAAATATCCCTATTTATAGGGAACTGAAAGCGTACAAAAAATATACTAAGGCATAGACACTTACGCTTCGAATAAAAGCGCCTCAGTAAAATAGATTACAAAACATTCGAAGAGTTCAAAATACATTTCGACTAATTACAACAATTCGACCCTTACAATCTTCCCCTTTGTAATCATAGTCGAACTACTTAATTTGTAAGAAGGTGGATGGAATACAGCATCACTCTTCGAATCTCCGTGTACCAGGAGATTATCTTCTTCGGCTCTTTCTTATCTCCTTCATTATTCTTCCTACAATGATTCATACGAACAATTAAGTTCGTATATTGAGACGTTGAATATCTCTCCACTTCGCATGCTTGGAATAAGAAACGTTTAGCTTTTCTAGCTTTGTCTTTTCCTGCGAAGACCATTCCAAAAGGCTTCAAACAGATTTCACCATCATCATACTTTTTCAATTCTGCTTGAGTCTTCGTAGGAGCCATTGGTGCTTTTATTTCCATTCCTTTAGCTGTAGCTAACTCCACATCTGTTAGTGCCAAGCACTCATAATAATTTTCGATGAAAATCTTGATGTGAGCAACCCCAAGCTTGAATTCATCCGGTTCAGTGTTTTGAAGATACGAAAATGA